GTGTTCTGCAGGTTCAAGTTTTGCATGTGCAGGGATTGTTCGCATGGATTTTGAGGGGTCCCGATCTCCCAACTTATGTGCCACTATGAGAGAGGGGGAGAGATTTACCTGAATGCCTGCATGACTACATAGGAAAAAGTCAAACTCCGTCGGATGGCAAATCTTGGAGTCGACTACGGTACCTGAAGATAGCAACAACACTGAGTAAATAAGCAATAAATAATAACCAATAATAAAAGTGTCTTCACTTTGATATGTACGACAATACCAGGCAGTATATTTCCACTTCTGTCCACAGATGATTGGTCTCTATAGTTATTGGCAAACAGACGGGTATGATGACGCTTTTGCACCACCACAAATGTCACGGGAGGCTGATAATCAGACTCTAGTGAAGCACAAGCCTACAGGATATAAAGAATAATTGCACAACTTAAGACAATAATTTCAATTTGATTAAAGATTACGAACGGCTTCACGCTTATATAGAGCATTATTTGAAAGAGCGGCATCAAGTTTATATAGAACATTATTTGAAGTAACTATCCCTATTGCTACCATCATACCTTCCGAATTGCATCAAGCTCGTACAACAGTACTTGATAAAATTGGCCCTCACTGACACCATCCCTGCATAGATAGTGACATCAGTATATAGCTGTACAAAATGAACTTATACGCCGAGAACGCACGGGCACACACGAGGACTGCACCTGTAAAAGATAATTCGCTCAGGCTTCTGCCCACTTGCTCTTCTGAAGGACATGAGAAGCTCCCTGTAAATAATCGAGCAATCAGATATAAAGGTAAAGGTAAAAGAAAATCCACGACAGGGTAGATCATAAAATCACAACACACCTGATCATGCCCCCACTGACAGATCCTCTCTGAGGATCCTGCCAAACTTTAAATAAATCTTGTATCAGCTCCTGACGATGGGCCTGTGCACAAACCAATCCAGCATACTTTGTAACCTCAGGCCAATCTTGGGACGCAACAACCTGCAGAGAAATCCACAGTAACTAAGACTCAAGTGGTTCTACATCCAGAGGCAGAAATCATACATAAAAATAATATCTCACAGCTGCAATGGAAGGACTAGAATCTTCGCCGGGATGAGGATGTGTTACATCAGCACCAAATATAATTGTAGGTCTGTCACTGACTAGAGGAATGCGCCTTGATAAAGCATCCACAAGAACTGTATTTCTCCCTCCAACCTATCCATAGAAGGAACGGGCCTCTTCCATAAGCAATATTAAACAACAATTAAAGATTAAAATATTTCATAGAAACCTACACCCACACGCAAAATCGTAAGAGGATTTTTAACATATAAAATAAGAACACAAATACAAGTATACACACCTTGACATTGATCTTGAGAGCAACATTTGCAAGATATTGTTTGCTTATCTTAAAAACATGCTTTGTCAAACAGCACTGTGATACTAATCCAAGATCCGTCTCACAAATCCGTTTAAGATCCCCTGCAATAAAGTGATACGAAAAGCTGAGCATGTCTTAACATGATGATGATTAACAGTGCATTACATTATGGTAACATAAATAACAAAAGTAGAGCAGGTGACTATATATACCGTAAAGAGACCCATTGTTATCAGGTAATATAACAATCAGCAGGTCGAGTTCTCTGCCCTGAGGTTTGAGTATTTTCATTGAGTCACTGTAACGTGCTTTTAGAGCCTTATCCACTTGATCGGGCCTAGCAGTTAGTACAGGAAGCAAAGGCTCCAAAGAAAAATCCTGCAATGCCAATGAGTTTAAGCATGGATATGAACAAAGACAATAGATGCGGATATCATAGTTCTAAATAGAACCAGCTTTGAACTTCGAGAGAGGGAGGAGGGAGGGAGACCATTCCAGAAGTCCGACACATCAGGGCCAGGTCTTTACAGAATCCGTGAGCAATGTTGTCATGAACATTTCTTGCAAAATTGATGCATGCCCAGTTACTTACTCTCCCACCGTTTACCATTTTCTACATCAAGTAAACTAAGCTTAGGAGATGATCCTAGACACAAAAGATGCATGTAAAATTGCATAAGAAGTTCAATAAGGTCATATGCAGAAGAAATACCTTGTTCATCATATTCCACTGGCCCACTCTTGGCAAACAATTCCTCTCCTTACCAGTGTCGTGGTATTTCAACTGATCCAACAAAGATTGATGTTAAGAACACATGTTTAAACATTTATGAAAATTTATGCAAACTAAGAAAGTTTTCTGATCAGCTGAGTCCACTTACCCAAGGAGGCGGCAAAATCCTTGCCTCAACTGAAGCGAGTCTTTCACTGATCTTGATTCCAAATTCTTGTGCATAGGGATCATTGTTGTAGTTATTATGACTAACAGTCTGACAAGCAAATATTTATGATTCAGAATGCAAATTATTTGAATGCACTGAAAAATACAAAGAGGTTGGTTCAGATAACAGATGTATTTAAAGAACGAAAATTACTATGCTATTACTTCGAAAGATCTTACAATATGACTGCCAATTAAAAATAATGCAAAGTACATTAATCAAATAGGAAACTATCACCACCAGAACCAAAGTATCGCTTGCCTAGAAGTTCGCTTGCTGATTCAGGAACGGCACCACAAAAGAACTCAGTTGAAAAACAAACAAAAGTTCACTTGCTGATTTGGTAACAGCTCCATAAAAAGGTAATACAGTTCAAAAACCGGTATAATTGTACTTGACGAAACCATCATGGTTGTGGAACATGAAAAGTGGAGTGAAGCGGAAATGTGCCGCTTAGGTATTGGGGCTTCGGTGGGAAAAAGTACCAAGTCGTTTTTAAATTTTAATTAGGGAGAAAATTTCCACAAAACAAGGGCAATGAAAGGGTCTCCAAATCATAAAACAAGCAAAAAATGGAGGGAAAAAGAATTCTATTGTGTTGTTTATAGAGATTCTGTGCATGAAATAGATGTGTAGCAATACTTAGATTAAATCCAAAAAAAAATTCATTCCATAGAAACCGCCTTTAAATTACGGTCATTTTATAGAAACCACCTTTGATTTTCAATTTATACATAAACCATCTTTAAAGCTTTTTTTGTTGCAATCAACCACCTTTGCCCACTTTTTACTTAAGTTTTTGCGGTAACTGATCCGATCTAACCTCCATTAAGGACCATCTCTCTAATATAGTTGGTTTTTGACAACTAATTATTACATAAAAACCGAAAAAAACTTGACTCAAAGAGTGAGTCCAAGTGGTTAATCTTATACACTAATATGTAATTTGATATGCACATCATATAGTCAACAAATTAACAGTCTACTGGGAACCAGGATGCCAAACTATCTGTATGTCGTGCTAACGAAGCAAGATGCACATCTTTAACACTCTAGATCAGACAGAAGGTTATAGGACACGAACATATGGAAAAAAAGGAGATGTTTAAGATTCAGGAGCATCGAAGGAGGCTATAGGACACGAGCCTATGGAAAATGAGATATGTTTTAAGATTCAGAAGCATCGAAACAGAAGGCCTTAATAAGCTACTTGTGCAACGTTCTAGATGTCGGATGTCGGGGACGTGTTGGAGGAAAATTCCCATTTCAGAGGATAGATATCAAAGATATATAGGCGATTGATAAATATCAAGGTGACATATCAAGCAATGTGTGAGTATCATAAAATGTTAGTACTTGACGCACCAATGAATGAAGCTGTAGAGTAAGGTGTATTTGTTTGGGTTTAGACAATTGTGAATATATTTTTTGGGTTTAGACAATTGCGAATCAATGATTTTTGGAAAGTGATATAACTACATAATTAATAGGGTTAATCGCGGGTAGACTGCTGTACTATTGCCATATTGAGCTTACCCCTGTAGTCCTATTGTTACAGATACACTTTTTGAGTGAAATATTTGTCCCTTTTCAGGGGGTCACCATGCAACAACGGATTTTCACTCGGGGCATACCCGCAACAAAAAGAAAACCTCTTGCAGGAGATTTATCCACAACAAAACTATATGGATAGCAAGTTCAATATGGCAATAGTATAAGGGGTTCCACACTTGACTTTAATTAATAACTAAAAATTAAATAAATTAACTGATTAAATAGCGAAAACAGATTAAAATAGAAATGATGGAAGCTTATGGTAGAGAATTTGAATTGTGCATGATAGAAATTATGGAAAATTAGCGGGCTTCACCTAGTTTGCCTAAAGTTTTTTTAGTGGGGTGAGTTAATGGGGTGGGGTCCTAGGGCAAAGTGGTTTCATGTGACACCACTTTGCCTTACTTTGATCCGCCCCTCATCAGTTGCCAACAAGTAAGTTTCGCGGCCTGCAAACAAGTTGGCGCCGAACGGGAACCATCTCCTTTGGACTGTTGGACTGGTGGAAGATAAATTGTGATGGGCCCAGTATGCAGTACGGAAGGAAAAAGGGTTATGGGGTTGGTAATAGAGACACCACAATGAAGGCTTTATAGGTCCTTGTGGTGGAGGCTTTCCTACCGGTTCATCACCGACAATGGTGGAAGCTATGGCCCTGTTAGCTGGGAAAATTTCTAAGAGGATGTGCGCTTTGGCTGTTGAGTTTGAATCTGATGCTACAGTAACTATTGATGATTTAGCAAATATGAATGGTAGCTTGGCTTCATATGGTCATACTCATATATGTTATGATATAAAGATGGAGGAGAGTGTTTTCCAGCAGTAATGCTTCTTATTCACACATAGGAAATTAAATAATGCAGTACATTCAGTTTGTAATAGGGTGTTTTACTCATGGTTATCGTGTCCTGATTGCATTATAAAGGACATTGAAGCCGATATAAATTCCTTTTGAAGTTGATATATTTCTTGTTTTCCATGGAAAACAAGCAAACAAACAAATAAAAGTTCAAATCGACATTGCAATATTTCAACAAATCTTTTGGGGGCTGAAATGTTGCCTAATATATCACCCAAAATTTCCTAGAAGTGGTGAAGGATATTGATACCATATTGTTCTGTCAAAAGGCTTCTAAAAGGACATATCAGCTGATATTATTGGCCATATCAGGGATATTTAGAACAAATGAACAATGTCGCTGTGTGTGGGTGATAGAGGTAGATCAATAGCGAGCGGACAGGGGAACAAGGGATAAAGGGATCATGCATTTGTCTCCGTCTTATAAGACACCAGATTAACTTTTGTTCTTTTATTTGCTTGCACATGAGTTCAGACCAATTAGCAAATGTGGACATAATTTTTTTCATTTTCTTTCAATTTATTTTGAGTAAATTTTCCAATATTGGAACTGTGTTCAACTCTGTTGTATCTAAACAACCATCTAGACTTTTCGGAGTACCTAGAAATAAAGTTCATTAGTACGTGTACATGATAGTCTAACTAGCGATTGTCATTTGTGTGATTCATCTGTCCCGACTCCCCGGTATCCATAATAAAGAAGAATATTTCTTGTTTTTTACTATTGCATGATGGTTGTGCTAGATAGTAATGAAACTTTAATGGTTGTGCAATGTAGATGAGTTTTACACAGTTGTATATTAGACAATAGCTGATAGGATATTAAAAAGAAAATTTATTTTGTAGGCAAATCGCAGAAGAATCATATTGTTGTTGCTTTTCTGCACAAGCAGAGTGCTTCAATTAATTCTTTTCACTGTATAAATTACAACTTGCAACATTGTTTTGCTTCTAACAAGCGGACTGTGTCAAAAGTTTCCCATTGAAATAGCAAAATGAAACAAGACACAAGTATGGAGCAGCCAACTGAAACCGTAGCTGAATTCTCTATCCCTCCAAAGTGAGTTGCCACTAGCAATCAACCCATCTTGCACAACAAACGGAAAATAAGCTATGCACACTAGTCAAGGAGCAATCATATAAATAACAAGTGTTTTCTACTTTCTTTCTCTGGTGCATAAATCTGTGTACTGGTTCTTTTACAACAGGTGTGAATGATGTCATTCCATTGAAGTTCATTGACAAAGAATCAGACTAGAACCCATTTCACATCCGCATTATGATAATGATATCTCATATCAGTCTGGTTAAAATATAAATTATTGATATTATCAATATTCTATATATCAGCTAAAAACACGTCTAAAGCAACAAAAACATGTTTTCGTGCTCATGGATTTAAGTCTATTTAGTCTTGCAGTGTGTAAATTTGATTTTAAATACCTTACTTATTATAGAAAAACAAAAGCCCAAAAGTGGAAGATTAATTAAAATTTCCTTTCAACCGATAGCCCTAGCAAATAATAGTGAAACTATTCTGTCCCCTGAATTTTAAGGACTTCCTTTTAAACCTTAACCTGATGAAATCAATGTAAATCCTCTTAAATTTTTGAGGAATCTTATGTAAAAGATAACATGTCATTAGCAGTTTAAAGATAGTGTAATTTCCTAATAAACAATATTATTATTGAGTTCACTATCCAAACAATATCTATATTTGCAACAGTATCTACAGAACAGAAGAATACAATTATGACAAGTATAGAACATGCTAAACCTTTACACCTTAACGCCATTTTATTTAGAAGCTAAACCCCTGAAAGAAAAGAATGGTATTACCACAATTGCTAAGTGAGACTTTAAGAACACAAATTGTTGTGCATGTGGTACACCCTGCGCTGTGATCATACATCCATGCTTTTAGACACATCATCTTCGCTGATGAACCTACACCACCATTATACAATATCTAGATACAGATATTTTCATCCATCACTTTAGTTTTAACAAACATCCATAGCCCCTTCTCTACTCAAACTTTTGTTAGTAATATCCTTCATTGTAGCCCCTTCCACTCAAAATTCGTTAGTAATAAACATACATTGTAGGCTGTATACACCCACTTTGGAAGCTCACCTGTTTCAGAGTTTGTACCTTCAATTACCATAGTCCTAAACAATCTAGGTACCAGGCTTAACATCAGACTAGAGCGCTGTTTAGTAAGGACCTTACCTTCTCTCCTAAATGAACAAATGTAACCAAGATCTAACCAAGAACACCATGCACCAACACTACCTTAAAGCCAAGATGGAAATAACACTAAGATCATCACAAGTCTGTAATATCTTCTGTCCTGAGGCTAAAGTGAAGTTTGAGAATAGATTTAACCTCAGAAGCAGAAAAGCATACTGATATAATCTTAAGGCCTGAGAGTTGACAAAATACACAATTAATCTAGCATAAATACAAATAATTCAAATGGAGGGTAAAAATATGATGTTCTCGATGAGAAATCGAACGTGTTCCTTAAGAGAAGGGAAACGAAATCTGTGTATCCACTAAAGGAGTTTTCCGTAGGCTGTTTCATTGGCAATTTTATATTTAAGAAATATTAGCATTTGGACATCAGATAAAAGAATCAAATCCAGTACCCGCAGAATGTCTTGCTCTCGATCAGAAGGTCGCTGGCATGTCACTTTCAGAAGGGCAGTTATCTGTTTCTCATTTAACCTCTTTGAGTACCTTTGGCCTTCGACAATTTTACAAACCTGAGTAACATTCGAAGAAGTTAGCATACATCTTCATATTATGAGCATGTACCAACGTATGAAAATGGCAAAATATGGTCCTTGCATTTGTAGTAATACAATACGCAGAAAACTCAACCATAAATGACTACCACAAAAAATTCATGATTACTGAACTGACCTCCATTGGCAGGTAATTTGGTCTTTGCGTATTTCCAACTTGCAGGCAAGGCCAATTTATTTGTTGAATGGTAAAACCATAAGTCTCTAGAAAGTACTGAACAACAGACTTCACCGTGCCACGATCATCAACAGGGAATCTACAGAAAAAAATTTCAATAATGATTAGAGTGAAAAAGCACTAATATGGTCAAACAGTCAGGAGAAAATTCAGAATCTTTTATACGTCAGCTCTCTTGTTGTCTGTGATGTTAAGCCAGATATGCGATACTTCCTACGCATATTCCCACGATGCGTGACCTCAACTTTGACACCTCTAAGAGCCTTTTTTATCTGAAAAATATCAGGGTATATGAGTACTGCAATTAGTCAACAGCGTTTATGCTATAATTTCTTATTGAACCTTTCCAGAATTATATTTTAACTCAATGGGAGCTTTTTTTTTCCTTTTTATGACAGGCTTCAACAAAATTTGAAATCTTATGAAATCAAATTCATGCGTAATGTTTCAATAACTATGTTCAGTGAATAAAAACAGTAAGGTTACTTTCTTTAGCCGCAAGACGAATCTCATGTGACTTTGAAAAAGAGAACAAATAAACAGAGGAAAGGAGGTTGAGGTCATTAATACAAGTTAAATGGAGAAAAAACCAGATATTTTGTAACTTTTCATTTTTATTTACTATGCATTACAAAAGTTCCATTAAGACAATGAAAACCGAAAAAGCAAACCTTCACGCGATCAGCATCAGACAACGGTCTGTTGGAGACATCTCTGTTCAAAAGCTGAGCAACAAAATCGGTAACTGGCAGTGGCTCTATGAAAGCAGTGGATGACATGTCTGCAGGAAAAATACAAACCCAAGTTTCTAAAACTGTACATTTAAATAACACAGAATTCAAGTACAAAGAAAAAATTGTGTCAGTATGCACAATTTTCATAATGTTATCATACTGGATACTGATTATTATTGTATCCCTTCTAGAAAATGATGCCAGCATTATTCATCCCTCTTCCCAGTCTACTTACAAAAACATTTTGTAGTAGCATTTATACAGATATCCACGAATAAAGGCCTCATGTAGTAAAGATATAGCCGTATGTAAGAACAGTTGTAAGCAACTGACCCCAAAAAAAACAAAAGACAAAAAAAAAGAGAAAGAAAGAAAACAGTTGACAGTTAAAAGTAAATGGCATTGAATAACTAATTTGTATAAATACTTAACATTTACCTACTGTAGATGAAACGCTGTTTTGTCTTAAAGGTAGTCTGCCTGATGTTTGACATGACCTTTGTAGTAGTGAAATTTAACTTTCTAGCCCCACTTGGACATTACAGTGCTATTTATGAGAAATGAAGACCATGAAACAAAAACAACTTCCTTTCAAGTGACACATTGCAACTCAATCAGATAGCTACGAAGTGGAAAATTGAGGGTGGTTCACTAACCAATATTTAGTGACAATCCCATCTGTGTTGGACGGATACTCTGGTAAAAACCTCGCCAACTTTCCAGGCCCTCACCCAATGATTGTCTTCTTCCAAGATCACCCGAGTAAAATGATCGACCAACTGGTGTATATCTGCAACCACAAAAAACATGACATTTTCAGCTTCACGCAAGAGGATGGAACAAGCAATCATCAGTCACATGACAATAATTACCTTGCTGTAGGCAACTCCCTAAGCACGATGTCAAGCACTTGCAGTGCTTCTTGGGGAGCATCTGCTTGCCTCCCTGCTAAGAACAACTCCAAGTGATGAAGATCAGCACGAGAAGCAAATTTAATTGCAACTGTGAACAGCCTCTCTCTCCTGCACGGCAAAACATAATGCACCAGTTATATCCATGCAAATTTGATAAGAAACATATTACCAAGACAATATGTTCCAGACAATACCTTTGGCCAGCTGGTCCTTCTTCTTCATCAAGCAGAGTAATTTGAAAGCTTTTCGACCCAAATGGTAGTGGTCCAGCTGTATAAAGGCTCTTTCTGCCATCATAAGCTGGAAGGCGACCACCTAAATGAGTCTGTCTGTAGAGAGTGACAAGCTGCTTTATGACAGCTCGATTCACACCTCGGGACGTAACCTCTGGTGTTATTGAAACCTGAGTAAAATAACACCAATTAAATGAAAGACACAACTACTAAGCCAGAAAGGAAAAAAAAAAAAAACAATTGATCATTATTGTTAAAGCAAATCACAGAGAAAAGGAATGAAGATCTTACATCATACTGGTGAAGATCTTTATCAGGAAGCTCAGCAAAGAAATGGTTAGCCTTTACTATGCATTTATCACCAGAACTACCCATTCCTGGACGTAACGGAAACCTCACAGATTTGCTTGATGAAGCAGATGTAACAGTCTGGATTGCCTGGGTAGGTTTATCTTCACCCTGGACAGAGAGCTGCTGAAACTGCTGCTCTACCTGACCAAAAGTTATCTCTGGGGTTTGGGATTGTGATGAGCCAGCTTCTGCTGTTGGAGAAGGCTGAGAGGCATGATAAGTAGCCTGTGTTGCTTGGTGCAGCTCGGGAGCTGGCGGCCTGGTTGGACTACCAGAAGGGCCGGTCCGTTGCCCACCAGTGTGTCCGCCACCCCGTCGCCCACCAGCATATTGATGAGGCATCCCACCTCTCGCTTGAGACCCGCCACGCCCTCGATACTCATACTGTTGGGTGCCAGGCTGCTGCTGTACCATGCCACCTCTGTGAGGCTGAGGAGCACCACGACCTTGGTATTCTGGATGAGGGACCTGGGGTGCCATGCCTCCACGAGGTTGAACACTTCCACGACCTTGGTATTCAGGAAGAATACCACCCTCCTGTGGTGCCATTCCTCCACGTGGTTGGGATCCTGCACCTCGACCTTGGTAGTCTCCGCCGCCACGTCCACCATGTTGCGGTGGCTGAGGATTGACAAAGCCCCCACCACGTCCTCCCCCACCACCTTGTTGTTGAGGCACTGCAGTTCTGCCAGCTGGATGCTGTGGTCCTCCACCTTGTCCACCACTGCCACTGGACTCCTGAGACCCAGACCCCTCTCCAGAAGTAGGAAGGTTCATTCTCTCCGTTCTCCTTTTCCTCACCATGGCAACAGCTGCAAATGAAAAGAAGGTTGCAGTAATGAATACACTAGGGAAAGCTGGAAAAAGCGATAAAAGCCACTCTCCTATAGAAACCAAACCCCATGGTTCCTATTCTCCTTAAGTGCATAGCAAAAAAGGGGAAAATCCATAAATGTTTTAGATGTTATTTAGCTTCTACAAATGAAAATCTTCACAGCTCTGAGGAAGCAGTGGCAGATATCAAAGGACATGCAGCTAACAGCACTATCCAATAACACAGTGTAATAAAACATGTAAGTAAATTGAAAGCCAATATGCTTCCAGTAATCAACAAAAGGATTGTAACAGAACATGGTTAAGCTGTGCCCTATAAATGCAAAATAAATCTAAACCTAAACCGCAAGTGAAGGACAATCGTAACTGTAGAAATTTAACAGCTATACAATTGCAGAGTGCAACAGGTAATGATGAAGTAAAAAAAAAACAATCTATGTGAGATTATGTCGAAAAGAAATCAATAAGACGAGTGGAAGTCAAATAGGATGCCCTATAAATCATAATGATAAATAATTAATTCATAGAAGAAATTTTAATAACCTTTCATCAGTAAAAGAGGGGCAAGTTTCCCAACTGTAAAAACGAACCCTTAATCACCCATATGTAACACTTCTCACCCCTCCGGTCAATAATAGCACAAAATACTATAACAAACTGTTATAAATGTTAGGACGTTTTTCTTTTATTTTTGCACCTTCCTTAACATAACACCTACGATAGGGGATGAAAGAATTTAGTCAGATTCTTAATTCATTATATATCGATATTTCTTTTCATTTATACTTTAAGATCATAACAATAAAGTTGACTGAGATATTTTAGTACGGAGCTCAGACAGCATTGGAAATAAAGGCCAGAGGAAGGTATCAAAACTCTACTTTAAATGTTAGCTGGTATATTCACTTGCAGTGTGAAAAGACAGGACTACAAGCAAATTAATTATAAAGTGAAATGGATACGTTCGCATAAAAAGGAAAGAGAATAAAGACACAGTTTCATATTTAGCTATATATTAAATACCTTTCTTCTAGCATATAGAAATATTGGAGAATTAACTTTTGGAAATATTGGGAAATCAACGAGACATTAAGCTGAATTTGGTGATGATGACCGAAGCAATAAACTTAGTTAAAACAATTACAGCTTTAACTTGAAACAGTTTATTGCATGCATCAAACAAAATCCTACAAAGGAAACCTTGCCGAAAAATCCATGTCGAATCTCTGTACATAAGCCAGAACTAACTGACAACTCATGAAAACTATCAATTCCTGTATAAGACTAACATCAACTGCCCATCTACTTGGGAGGAAATACAGTTAATGATATATAGCAAACTTCCAAGACAAATATCCAGCAAAGTTGAGGACATAGAAATTGATGAAGAATTTCTCTATGAAACCTCAGACCAAGTTGACAGCTAAATATAATGCTAGTGTAAATAGCTAGTCAAGAACTCTCAGTCCGAACATGTAATCAAACCCAACTCAACCATTACTGTTAATAACACAAACTTGACCACTTGGATTCCTACCAAAACAAAGAGCAGAATTGGTTTGCAGGAACTCTTGTGATACTCGCATATGAGAATATGTACTCAAACCCAACTAAAAAACTTAACAGTTAATAATACAAACTTGGGCTCATATGAAAACGAAGAGCAGGTCGATTGGCAATAACTGCCATGATACTTGCATATAAGAAGCTTAGATTACTCAATATAAGACCATGTAATCAAACCCAACTCAACCATTACAGTTAAAAACACAAACTAGCAAAGAGCAAAATTGATTCACAGCAACCCCACAAGAGACTTAGATTAGTTTATAAAGCATAGCATAAATAGGTTAATAAGAAGTAGCAGTCCAAAGTTAAAATGAGAAATTGGAATCAATGTACTGTAATCTTAAACTAGAAAATTCTTAACATGTATGCACATTAAAGCACAAAAAATATCAACTTCATGACATTTTAATTTTGAAGTAGCAATGAGCCCTAATAAACAGTAAAATACCAACACAGAATCCGAAATGATCAGAGAACCTCCATTAAGATGGATCAAAGCTGAGACTGAGGTGAATAATGAAGTTATTAGCAGGAAAAGCATACAGACAAAAGAAATCTACAAATTTCTCATAAAAGAAAAGAAAACCGAAGCAAACAAAGTAATTAAAGAACATGGAAAGCCAAGAATACTTGCCCAAACAGAATCCTAGCCTGAAGTTGACTGAAGTACCAAGGATTCATAAAACCTCATAACTTTACAAGCTAAATCACAGTACAACGAACAAATATAGAAAATAATCACTAAAATGAAAAGAAAGCAAAACAAAAACCAAAAAGGAACATCAAAAAACACTTTGTTTCAAAGCAGACTCTGAATTCTTCTCAAATTTCGCCGGATCTATTGATCAAACTATAAAGAAAACAAATTCAGTCAAAAAGATTCAAACATCAGCTCAGCCGATGGTTACAACATTACATAAAAAACCAAGCTTTCTGAACTAGAAAGCAATAGCTCATTTTCCAGTATCTAACACAGCAATTAACAAGAAAACAACTGCTTGTTCTGAGCTAGAAATCTTTAGATTTACACCAACTCAGCTGATCTTACATTGCTCCGTCAAAACCCTAGCTTCCTGAACTAGAACAACAGATCATTTCTGGGTCTTAACGCAGAAATTAGCAAAAAATAAGTAATTAATCTGAGAAAACACCGCTTTACCTTGATCGGAAACCACTAGAAGATTACTAAAACAGCTACCGCCTCACTTCTCTCTCGCTCTCCGAAATTTCCAAAGGCAGTAAAAATACAGAGAAAAGAGAGAATTACAAAGAACAGCAGTCACTTATAACCCTGAAAATAAAATTAAAAAAAAAAAGTAAATGAGAAGAAAAAGATAAACAAAGGCACGAAGATTAAAACCGGGCGTGGGACCCCGGAACACGACAAATTCGAACCGGAGCGGGCGTATCGGCCGATTCGAAGTGAAGCGGTCACGTGACTGGTAAGGTGGAGGAATGAGCACCGCTGTGGGTATAGACGTCCCATACAGCTTATAGGTCCATTCGATTAGTGCCACGTAAACACTTTTGATGAAGTTCCGTCTCGTGGCGGGTTGTACGTAGATGACAACGCTAATTGCTGCCATATTAGCAATTAAGATATAGTGATGGAGAACAACTAATAACTATTGATGACCAAGGCTATTATTATAACGGCTTAAGGGGATAGAGACAAGTTCCGTGGTTGCGATTAATTATATTTAATTACATTAATGAAGGATAGAATTAGTTTTTTTTATGAGGACCAACTTATTGGACGCTGTTTGGTTGTTTTTGGTTAAAATGCTTGAAAATTCAATGTAGCTAGTAACTGCACAAATCCATTCAAAGTAAAGTGAATTATAAGAGGATGTGACATCAGCTTTTTTGGGTGTCCTCTCATCTATAATTTTTGTCCACTTATATTAATGAAGGATAGAATTAGTTTTTTTTATGAGGACCAACTTATTGGACGCTGTTTGGTTGTTTTTGGTTAAAATGCTTGAAAATTCAATGTAGCTAGTAACTGCACAAATCCATTCAAAGTAAAGTGAATTATAAGAGGATGTGACATCAGCTTTTTTGGGTGTCCTCTCATCTATAATTTTTGTCCACTTAT